GTAACAGGACCCCCGTTGATACCAGTGTTTACTACACTGAAGAGGCTATCCTGTATAAATATAGATGTCTACTCTACTCTAGAAAGGATTTTGAGAGATTCAATAAAACTGCAGTTACATTCTGTGGAATTATCCATTAGATATTTGCACAGTAGTACAACACTTTAATAATGATACCTTGCAAAGTTCACTAAGTTTAGGAGAGTTGTCTCCATGAGTTGGATAACTGAGAAAAAAACAAAAAGAAATGAAAAAACAAAAAACTAGCAAATGTTTATAGAATTATCACACACTTTTATGAATGGAAAAGTATTACTTCTCATTCAGAATGGGATACAAGTAATTTCAGGCAGAAAGTTTTTTTGGTGTTAATTAAAAAAAATTATCCCCAAAGTCTATATTTCGATTTCTTCTTGAGCATCACCTTCCAACTAAACAATGTCTTGATATGAATGAGGAGAGGTTGTGGTTATTCATCATGGTAAATAACACTTTAAAGGAGAAATGGAGTGGTTTGTCCGACAATGTGGTCACTTGGGAGCCATGCAGTGGCCAATAACAGAGGGAACCTAATTCAAACGATGCATCAATCACAGCCACAGAATTCCATCCAATCATAGCTGAGCACAGAAGCATATAATTATATAATAGGTGATGCATACTCAGTCAACCACATTGCTTGAGGATGACTTAGTCTAGCAGTATGCAGTTGAAATGTCGTGAACCACATCCCTAGTGACCGCATTGTGAGACAAACAATCACATTTCTCTTTTAGAGAGAAGTTACTTAATAATGATCACCTCTGGGAGTGAAAGCAGTTAAGATAAAGTTATCACATTTCTTTTGCCATCAGCCTTTGGTGTGTCATATCACATACCTGGTAGTGGTCCTTCCACTCTGATCAAAGGAATTTTTGGGAAGACAATGCTCCCCTCTAACATGGCACTCAGAGTAACCTTTCTTGTGTCTATGTCCCTTAGAAACTTGTAAAACTCTTCTTCCACTGCTGCTGGTAATATTGTTTTGAGATAAGATATATCTGAAATTTAAATAAAAAGATATTTGTTCAGGGTATAAATTCTTATAAACAGCACTTTGTTACAAAAATGTGGCAATAATTGTTATCTGTAGATGCAATGACTGGTTTCTCTGCAGTGTATCAGTCTGGAGCCATAAAGGCCTGGGCCCAGTTGTTTGAAGACCAATTAGTGCTAACCCAGGGCTGGGTTGTTCAAAAATGGATTAAGATAACCCAGGGTTAGTGTGAAATTTGATTTTAGATCCGAAAGCTTCATAAGAAAATTCAGTGTAATTCCATTTGTCCAAAATTTGATGATCGATTGTTCTAAACAGAATTGGGAAAATCATTCCAAAACTGCTTTTGAACAGAGAAATATAGAAAGCTGGATTAAAATTTAACCCTGGGTTAGCACTAATCTGCCTTTGAACAACTGGGCGCTGGTTTCTATATTTCTCTGTTCAAAAGCTGTTTTAAGATAATTTTCCCAATTCTTCTTAGAGCATTCAATCACCAAATTGTTAACGAGTGGAATTAAAGTGAATTTAATTTTAAAGCTTTCAGATCTGCAATTAAATTTCACACTAACCCTGGGTTATCTTAAACCACCTTTGAACAACCCAGCCTTGTGTTATATATCTAAACAGACTTCTTAAACCCTTTTAGACCCCCAAAATCTGATTGTTAATTCTCCTATCTAGCCGCTAAACATTTCCTTGTAAATCAGTAAGAAGTATTTGGTGTTAGATCAAGATGGCAAATTCTACCGAATAGATTTGAATATTCTCATGACCAGGGTTCCATGTTAATCATTTCTGGGAGTGGTGATTGTCTTGAATTGATGGTTTCTCCCCTTGAGGCTACGGGAGCAAGCTACAGAATTTGACCCCTTCCCTAAATCACATGAAAAATAAGAGGGATGTTTTCGCGTGACCATGTGCCATCAGAGACTTTGTACTGTACAAACAAACACGATTCGATTAGAGAGAAAAAAATGCGTCGAAAGCATGATCATGTCGTTAAAAATGTTCTCTATCCATGGTAGAACGGATTGTCACACTTTATCCATGGATCTGTAGCTCATTCATTTAAACTGTGTTAGATGGACAATTATCAATAATTAATTTTTTGTTATATAATTTTTCTTTGTTTTTAAATACTCCCAGGGTGTCCAGTTCCATAGTTAATTTAGAATTGAACCGGGTTTTTGTTGAACGATTATGATCAGAAAAATAAACTAGTTAGCTCTCTTAAAGCAGCTAATAAATCTCGATAACAAATAAAGACTGTTTAAATATTTACCTGAATCTGAAAACTTGAAGTTTCTTACAAAATGAACGCATTCTTCCAACCCGGCGAAAACGGTGAATTCTCCGTGAAAAGGATTCTTGCGAAAGTATAAATCGAACACTGCATTGTCCAATACTTTGCCGCTCTTCCAGTAAGCATAAGCCATTGTGATTTGATAAAGATCCGTCAACAAGGGTTGGACCAAAGGGTTCGAATTCGTTCTGTCTTCCACAGCCGCCATCTTGAGGTTTCTTGGAAAATGACAATGTCAGCTACCCCTCCCTCACTAATATTATTTGTCACATACGGGACATAGCCGCATCCGGTTTGCGGTTCCCAATGAAAGTGCTCGAAGTGAAATGTTTATGCGGTTGTCGGTTGGAATCTTATTGCAGTTTGACGAGGAGTTTCGCTTTATTTAAACGACCTTGATCCCTCAGCATTATTCTGTAAGTATTGTAGCACCTTTTCGTGTTTCAACAAGGAGTGATAAAGTGTTTTTTTTTTTTTATTTAATTCGCTCGGTTTTGAAATGGATTATTTTTCGAATCGAATTTGCACATGTATGAGCCCTTGGTATTATTTATTTTGCCAAACCTTTTTCCCTTAAACGATTTTTATAATGCCATCTTTTATTGTTGTGGAAAGAGAACTATCTATTTTAATCGTGACTATACAATCTTTTGCCCCCAGTCATAATTTTTTTCAAAGCTCTGGTATGTTTACGTCAAATGATTCACTTTCACACAGGGCTTAACTTTGAATTTTCTAACAATCGTTCAAACATCTTACTCCACGGCTTCGCCAGAAACGTGTCAAGATGTTTTGAACGGCAGTTCGATGCTATGGGACATTTTATATAGCAATAATTTTCCTTGAAAAAATTCAAGATGTAAGAAGAAAAATCAATTCGTTGAATTTCGTCACTGATTTGTGAATGATGTTGTCAAGACCTCCGATGAGCGTTGTAAATGATTTTAAATAGCGATTGGGTTTGTATAGACAGAAAAACATGAGAATGTGGACAATTAGCGGCCATCTTTACTAGGTGAGCTTGGTCAATACAAGGGTAATTACTTCAATGATCAATAACAGCACAAAATTATGTTTTGATGCAAAATAATTTTACAAGCTTTAATCTTATTATTTATTTGTCACAACAATGTACCAGTAAATAAAAAACGAGAGAAGTTTGTGGCAGGGGATAGTAACAGGACAAAGTCCCAGTTGACAATTGCCCTTTAATCCTTTAACTTCTATCAGTGACCAAAACAGAAATTCTCCTTACAATGTCAATACAACATCAAGCAGACAAGTGATGAAAATATGGAAAAATATAAATCAGGGGATTATTAGTTGATCCAGTACTAAATTCTTCAAACTAAAATCACAGTAGTTGTATGGCAGACAGTAAGGAGAATTGGTAATGAGATCAAGGAAGTGAAAAGGTTAATCCTGGTTTCTCTCCATTTAAGGATGGCAGAATGTGAAGTGGTGGTGGATGATTTTGTGAGGACAGGAAGAACTGGTCGGCGGAATGCTCTTCCTGATGTGTTTGCTGTTGGACATGCGAATGTGACAACTGCGGGACTTCCTGAAGGGCTGGAAAATTTTTCCATTGGTTCTTCAACTCAGCCAGCATGCAATGGTACTTCAAGTTCAGAGAACCAGCCACAAATGGAGAAATGAAAGTGGATGTTGCTGTAGCATACCTTTGAATTATTTGATTCCTATTTGACTTGTCATTCTCAAATGGCATCATGACCTGGTCTGGTTCATGAGTAACAGTTTTCATTGGCATTTGGAAGTGGCAGTTTTTTTTTACCCTCAGTGGTTTGATCTCTGATATTAAGGGGACATTGCACTGTGATGGTGGTACCTACAAGTTCTCAAAAGAAAGAGTGGACCAACTACCTTGTGACAAATTTTATTGTGGCTTGGGTGGTATTATTGCAGATTCTGATGAGAAGAGATGACAGATTGTGCTTCAAACTGATTATCTACCTGAAAGTTTGAGGAGTAGCCACTAAGAAATGCCTAGTATGTTGTGATTTTTCTACTAGATGAATTGCATTTTGTTATTTAAATCCCTTACTAATTTAAGGACTTCGATTCAAATGTTAAAGTCACATTATTCTCTGTGATTTTTTTCCCTTGTATTGTACAATATAGCCATTTCATGTAGCAGAGAATGTAGTGATAAACCCATAATACTGTAAAAATTTTAGATTGTTTTTTTAAAAAACAGAAGCACTGACAGTTGAAATTTGTAATTTATAAATATGCTCCGGACATTAGTTTAGATCTGTCTAGAAAGAAGAATTATTCAAAAGGCCATGTCCTAAAGACTTAAATCCTCTTTAGGACTAGTCAACTGCATAATGGTTTATTCAAGGTCTAATATCACTATGTGGGAGTAGCCCAATGAAGAAATCTTGTCTTTTTTGGCTGAGATGTCAGTTATTCTGCTGGAGAATGTTTTAGATTAAGACTCCAATGTTACTAGGATTAAATCTGAAGTATGGTAGGGTGTCATGTATAGTGTGAATTGAAACAAGGCTGAAATGTCTCTTTGATGAGTGGGCTTACAAGAAGCTGTTATGCAACGTAATTTATGTCATACAACAAAGGTACCATTCTCAGCTTAGAACAAAAAAATTAATGTTTTCTAAGAAAAATTGAATAATGCAAATACCTAATTTATTCTCAGCTTTTATGATTTGTGTGCATGTGCCTTAAAAATTAATGAACATTTGATTAAAAGTTAGTGTCAATTATTGATGATGCTGTGAATTTTAGAGATTGAATATTGAGATAAATTAAAAGTAACCTTTCAACGTGAAATGAAGTCCTGTTTCTCTAATTGCGAAAAGATGCAAATGGAGAAACAAAATTTAAGGTAAGCCCCCTCTTTTTTGAGCCTTCTAAAGAAATTATGTGCTTCCTTGCAATCACTCGTCATTTCCCACCAGAACATGATTTGGAGTCTAATCAGCGGCGGTCCTATAGATTTTAATCGATTAAGTTTATTTTTGTGGCAACAGTTTGAAGATATAATCTTTAAAAACTGCCAGAATGCCTCCCAATTCGTTTTGTTTGGTCTCAAAGGTTGTGACAGAAGTAAAACGATTCATGAAAGTACTGCCTTGTGACCATATGCACGATGTCCTCAGTAGCGGGAGTTATTTCGTGCGATTCGACGTACACGTCCGTGAGTGGAGAGCGAGAGTTTAACTTTATCTTTACTTTACTATTCTGGTAACGAGGCAGCCTCGTTCGCAAGGTCCTTTCTGGGGGAGGAAGAGAGAAGGTCCTGGGAACGAGGTTGACGCCAAGCTTGGAAGTGAACCCTTCTGACCAATCGGAGTGATAACTAATCATGCTTCGTTGCGACAATAGGGGCGAAGGGGCTATGTTTGACATACCAGTAGGGTACGGACGTGGTTTTGGAAAAAAAAGAATTAATTTTTCTAAAGTTAATTTTTTTTTATAAAATTCGTTATGTCCAGTCTGTCTAAATCTTCTCGATCCGCAAACATATCTGTCCGGTCTTCGTTGCTTATTGCTTAGTTTCGTTATATTGTACAGAACTAAAATTATTTTGAATTCACCTTCATGGTCAGATCATAGTTCCACACGCCGCAAAATTGACCTGCACCACCACTTAACTTCTGAAATTTGACGGAACTTTGCAACATTAGACAAAAACTTCATAAATTGGTCTGAGCTGTTTAAACTTGAACGCTAACGCAGGAAAGAAGTCGTTTTTCAATGCCTGGCCTATTTAATGTGGATGCGCAATTCGTTCTGAAGGCGCTGCCGTCTTTAATTTGCTCAGGAAGATGGCGGAAATAAATTAGAAATAATGTCCAGTAAAAATATTTCGCTCCGCCTTTCAACTCAATTTAAAGTTCTACTGTTTACACAGCACAGAAGAACTTTTGTGGCCTTAATTATTCTTGATGGAATATTGTTTGCTTTGTTGTTTCGTTACAGTGGAATGCGAAAGACGATACTACAAGGTTAAAGAATGAATAATAGTGCACACTGGGGTAACAAATTACAAGGTAGAAGAGTGAAGCGGAAACTTTTACGACAATGGGTTGTTCGCGAAACTTTCCTCGAGGTAAAATCTAGCAGTGTTTCATGATCTGCTCTGACAAAACAGTGCTTTCTGAAAGGCTTTCGTCAAGTTTGTTTTTATCAATAGTTGTAGAGTTTTCAATCAATGGGTTTTATTTGTCTCCTACAGTTGGACTAAGCGACACATATTATGTGGATTTCTGGTTGGCTGTACTCGCCGAGTACCTGGCAAGTTTCTTTTTCATGTTTGCAGTTTCGGGTTCTGCCTTGAGATGGGAAGGTGCGCCGACTATTTTTCAACAAGCTCTTGCCGCTGGGCTTGTAACAGCCTCCATGATTCAGGCTTTCAGATCTGTGAGCTTGCCGCTTGTGCATGCAAATCCAGTTGTGTCGCTTGCTGCTTTCATAACCGGGGATGCTGGTTTAATACGAATGGCGTGTTCTCTTATAGCGCAGTTTTTTGGAGGTAATTAGACATTTATCAGGTTTTTCTAGCAATTCAGTCTGTTTTCAAGTTAAAGAAGCTTATCAACAAATTCACTTTGCTTGGATTGTTTGGATTTTGAGAGAAACGATCGCTTGACCTCTAAAATGCTGCAGTACTTTTGATTTTCAAGATGTATCTTTAGATAAATTTTCCGGAATTAACTGCTTAGACAAACTTACCGAAAATTTTAACGGTCAAGCACCTATTTAGATACTTGAGTCGAATGAACATGCCTCTGTTAGCGACCATGGCATGTTAAGCATATACCATGTCTTCGGCTGATTGACACCCCTACCGCACAAAAAATTGATTAGCTTGAATATAGAATTCGTTTCCGTTAACTATGAATCTAAGGCAATTCCTTAAACCTCTAATCTCTAATAAGGAGCTATTCTTTACCAAGCGCGAAACTGATCAAACATCACTACAGCTCTCTGACGTGTTGATCGCAAGATTTCAATCTGCTACCCTCACTTTCCGCGGATGACGCGAATTCGTTTGCTTTAATTTGATGCCAAGTTATAAGCAACCAAGGTGACTGAAAACGAAAAACAACAGAAGTCCCGTTGAATCCTTCTTTGTCACTGGTTTGAAAATTTATGACTGCAATGTTGACTTTTTATAGCACAGTTTTTATTCAGATATTTATTTATTATTTATTTAATATTTATGACCCATAGCTATAACTGGCACTGGCGTCGTGATGGCAATAAGCCCTCAACACGCCCGAGGGAAGCTTGGGGTGACTATGCCAGGAAAAGAAGTGAGTGGTTTCCAGGCTTTCGGCGTGGAGTTGGTTCTGACATCACTTCTAGTACTTACCATGCTGGCTTCCATCGATGCCAATAAACAAGCAGCTCGCAGGGATTATGGGACTGCTGCTGCCATGGGCGTGGTCGTTACGGGCTGTTATCTCATTGCGGTAAGGTTCAATGGCGATGGGATTGTATTGGCCTTTAATTACCATCGTTTTGTGATTGGTCGAAAGATTCCGCCAAAGTCGATGCAAATTATATTGAAAATCAAGACCAATTTTAATTTCTTACTCGCGTTTCCATATGCCTAAGGTATTTTCTTACATTTTTTACTGATTCACTGTGAAATGTTATTGGCTACTAGTGATATATGAAATGAACCATAAATAGCAAATATTTAGTAGACAATTTATGGTATTTTTCCCGTGACCATAGCTACCGCTGACCGGCTGCGGATTAAATCCCGCAAGATCCTTGGCACCTGCTGTTTTCACAAGCACTTGGGAACACCACTGGGTAAGTGCACTTTCATTTACATTTAAAAAAAAAAAAGAACGTACCTCCATCCGCTGGGAGGAGAAGAGGTCAGATGATTAACGCATATTATTAAAAACTGGATCAATTCAAGACTTTTAATTGGCTTAGCCATTATGGTATATGAGCCAATATACCATAATCAACAAATATGGTAAGCGTACGCGTCAGCTTAAAATTGAAAGGGAGCTAAAAATTTAATAAAATTTAATAATTTAATTTAACGTTTTTAATAAAACAATTATTCCACTCGCTCTTGTTGGATACGAGATGATTATAGCCAACTCGGCGCTACGCGCCTTGTTGGCTATCTATCATCTCATATCCAACGCGCGCTCGTGGAATAATTGTTAAGTATAGGATTCCATATATATATATATATATATATATATATCGATAGATCTAGGTTGGANATTTAAAACTGAAGCCTTCAGTTTTAAGTTGCGTTACTTACGGCCTCGAGAGGCCTCGGAGGCTTCACTTAAACGGTTTTTATTAATATCTGCGAACTGATAAGGGTTATTCAAAAGGCTTCCAAGCAAATATTAAAACATTTTCCTATAAGTAACTGTCACGATCCGACACCTGTCAATTAGAAAGCGCGCAAGAAAAAAATCAAGCCCACTGAAAAAGACACCATTCTAGGTTTGTTCGTATTAGGAAAAACTGCGCCCTCTATCTCGAGTATCGCCTTCGGCCTACGTCTTCGGGTGGTATCCAAGACCTCGGGCACAGTTTTTCCCAATACGGACCTCTTGTCTGGTGAATAATATATATATTTATCGTAAGCGCATGAAATTCGCCAAAAGCTATTCGACATAACTTCGACAAGCTTTTTAATCAAACCCAACCAGTTTGTATACACACTTGTTTCTTCGGCTTATTTCACAAGAATTTGTCAGTTGACTAAAAACACCGATGGATTAAGATCCCAACATGCTGTGTACTTCACTTGGTTGTCAGTTACGAACGTAAACAGCAGGTGCCAGAGCAGGTTTTATCTCTGCGAGTTCATCCCTGATCTTAATTGTTTTTCAAGGCGATCAAAAATGAAGAAGGCCAAAGAAGGGGCTACAAGAAGACTGAGGATCGCTAGTGTTCTTTGCTTGTTTTTTATGACTGTGGAATTTGTAGGTAAGTATTCTCATTAACTCAGTACATTTACGTCTTTGGTACGTAAATGCCGCCAGAATTAGAGAATATTTTTACTTCAGTTCATAACCATGTTTACATATGTTCTCTTTAAAGACCACAACACAACACGTTTTTTTTTCTAAACCGATCCCTGCAAAATTGATCGCCATGCATCGTTTTAAAACGATGCCTTCAAGTTGTGGGAGGCAACTGTCATACACTAGAAAGACTAAAGCAAATCTTGAATATTTGATCTTGCTCGCTCTAACAATTCATTTCATTGCAATAGAGCTTTTTATGAATTATTGTGTGACACTTGACTGATGATTTGATAAATAGAGCCCGATCGGAACACATGAACACAGAAAAATACAGTGTTCTAACAGGAAACAAACTCTGAATTTTAAGTGCTTGTTAGAGCATTTACACAAAATCTCATGGTTATGGTCGGCTTCGCAAAAGCTCTCGATGATTAATGAATGTTGTTCGAATATTTCTTCCTTTTCAGAATACCAGTTTTACAGATCCAAAATTCACTTCTCCGACTGATTTGTTTTCTACGAGATGAAATATATGTGAACACTAATTTATCAACTGAGTAAAAATCACCAATTTTCACGCTAAAGTCAAACATGCACATCTACATTCCGCGACAAGTGAGCTTGAGTTGTCAAAGAAAAAATCGTATACCACATAGATTAGGTGGGTAGCTATTGCTTTTTTCAAGACCCCTCGAGACGAGTGCTCTTCGATGATATAACAAACTTCATCCTTGACAAATTTCTCTCTAAAATAAATATCTCCTTCTTCAAAATCAAGATTAAAGAGTCCTGGAAAAATGTTACCGTACTTTTGCAGCTACACTGCCTTAAAAAACTTGTAAAGGAAAGTCTGGTGATATAGGCTAGATCTCTTGATGTTACTCAAGTGCATCAGAGTAATTTCTGAGTAAAACATAATTAAATTTCCTGTTTGATTTCTTAGGGGGTTATTTTTCCAACAGTCTCGCTATTATGACGGACGCAGCCCACTTGCTGTCGGATTTTGCGGGTTTCATGATCTCGTTGTTGGCTCTGTGGGTGGCTACCAAGCCCGCCACTACGACGCTCTCTTTTGGCTGGCAGCGCGCAGGTAAGAGTACTATACATGCGTCTGCTAAGGTTTGAGAAATGTTCTGCATGTGAATGCAAACAAAAGAGAATTAAAACAGCTACTGGTGTGCTATTAATTTATTCTAGCTTGTAGCCAAAAGTTTTCCGCGAGCTTAGTTCACGAGCTTAGTTCACGAAAAACTATTCGTATGTGGGAACAGATAATGTTCACGTACAAATAATATAAGAGAATATTTTCACGCCATATGAAGGCTATTGTTTATATATTTGAAAGCTGGCTTTTCACGTCTCTTTTCAGAGGTGATGGGTGCAGTGATATCCGTTCTGTTCATCTGGGTATTAACCGGGGTCTTAGTTTACCTAGCAGTTCAGAGAATCCTCACGAAACAATATGAAATAGATGCTCAAGTGATGTTACTCACTGCGTCAGCGGGCCTCATTATAAACGTCCTGTAAGTCATTTTGCCAATAAAATATCTTCACAATTTTGCTGATTAACTTGAAGGCAAAGTGTATTCAAGTGAACATAAGTTAATAATATATTATCTTTTGGAGATACATCTAATTTTGCAAATCTATTGGTGTTCAAGTTGAACTTTTTGTTAAATGAACTTTTTTTTAAAATTCAGTACCTTGCTTATGCTTAAAAAAGATATGTCTGCTCTACATTTGAGTCCAAACGAAAGTCAATCGTTACATGACTTTCTCTCGCCTTTCGTGATCGTGACGTCATGATACGTTACCATGGATACTGGTAGCCCATTTAGACCTATATATTCCTAATGTTGCGATACAAGTGCAAATTATGGCCCACAACAACAACAACAACAACAACAACAACAGAAAACCAACCCTCAAATGTAGCATGTTCCCAGCTCATATCTTTAAAATTATTTGTGAACCAGATTAGGTATCATACTTCACCAGAAAGGTCATGGTCACAGCCACGGATCCAATCCTAAAAAGAAGAAAGGCAAAAGAAAATCGCAATCCCAAGCCTCACCATCCAGTTTCATTATTCTAGAAGAAGAAGAAAACGTGAATGTGCGGGCGGCGTTCATTCACGTCCTGGGCGACTTCTTACAAAGCATAGGCGTGTTTATTGCAGCTCTTCTCATATGGTTTAAGGTATGGTAAGCATAAGCGAGGATTTATAATGGTTTTGGTTGAAGATTGAGTTGTCGCGCGTGTTTTCACGTATATACATAAAGCTACTCATTTCCACTCACTGTGGGCCATGGTGTACATTGACTTTCTCCCGTTACTCTTGTCGCTTGATCTCAAGAAACTATGGATCGACTCCAGCTCGCTCGCCCTCGCTCGCCCAAAGTTGAGCGCGCGAGAGCAAGCATAAATTTAAATCCCTTCTTCCCGCTCACGAAGTCATTATAGCGCTCGTTAACTCTATCCCGGAAACGTTTTTGTTCCGGAGAGCGACGAGTATGAAGGAGATTGCGGAAGGGGCTGACGTTTTCCAACAAACCTCCTAATATTCAACTTTCCATCGTAACAAATAGCAAGAGACTGGTAACGAGTCCACTAAGAGAGAAGTTTTTCATACTTTTAATCTGTGAAACGCCGATTTAAGAAACCTCGCCAGGTTGTCTGTATTATATCTGATAGTAAAGCTAATCTTATATGCTTCACTCTTTTTCAGCCATCGTGGGCAATCGCAGATCCGATATGCACATTTATATTCTCTCTGATAGTTTTAGGAACCACATTAGCTATTTTGAAAGATGCATTAATTGTGCTCATGGAGGGTGAGTAAATTACCACCTGTTTACAAAGGGAAAAAAAAAAGCAAATAAAAACAAGCATAAGCATAAGATTAAGATTAAGCATAATCATCATGAATCATGACTCCGCTAAATCTTAATTCTTAGAACCGACACCTGTCGAAAAGACTTTGATACAAAAAAACTGCGTGGAAGGTGTACAAGAACTTGTAGTAACAAAGACAATTACGTTATAACTTTTGTTGTTTTCGTGTGCGACCTGGTGACATTCTTTGTCTGATAATCTTGTCCGGAGTCAATGCACAGTTTGAGAGTCCAGTTGCAGAATGTTTAAGTGAACCTTTCCGAAGGATCTCGATATTGTCTTAGTGTTTGTTTTTGGTGTTTCGACTGACCAGACAATCTTAAATAATATTTTTTTTAACGACAACATACAGATACGTGTTTGTCCGTTTTTATTGTGAAGGAGTTCCCAAAGGGTTGAATTTCAACACTTTAAAAGAAAGTCTCCTAGACATCCCGGGAGTATTAGCTGTTCACGATCTTCACGTGTGGTCTCTAACAGTGGGAACGACAGCTATAGCAGTTCATCTTGTCATAGGTAAGTTTTAAGGAAATTTGCCTTCCATCCTAGTTTTACAGTCTGGTTTAGCCGCCTCTTGGTTGAAATCATCTTTCCGTCCGCCCTTCTGTTCTGTGCCTGCTTTGAGTGAACCATTTGTTTAGGAAAAGGGAGTAAGTTTCTAAAGACGGAAACCGTGGTGCTGCGTCGGTGGGGGAGCATAACAAGGTAATTTTGGTTTTACCAACTGAGTAGATAATATAAATTGGTCAACGTTAAGAGCTCCAAAGGTGAAATTTCGAGCCGGCCGGTTAGCCCTTCGTTATTAGCTCTGACGAAGGGCTAACGCTCGAAACGTCAGCTCTGAAACTCTTTACGGTGGTCAAGTTATATTTATTTATCAACTCAGTTCATAAAACCAAAATTATTTGTTTGGTGTGTTATTCTCAGTCAGTCTGGTCTCAGTGTGTGTGTCTGTCTTTCTGTCTGTCTGTATGTCTGTCTGTATGTCTGTCTGTCTGTCTGTATGTCTGTATGTGTCTGTCTGTCTGTATGTGTCTGTCTGTCTGTATGTCTGTCTGTCTGTATGTCTGTCTGTCTGTATGTCTGTCTGTCTGTATGTCTGTCTGTATGTCTGTTTGTATGTCTGTCTGTCTGTATGTCTGTATGTCTGTATGTCTGTCTGTATGTCTGTCTGTCTGTTAGTATGTCTGTCTGTGTCTGTCTGTCTGTATGTTTGTCTGTCTGTCTGACTGTCTGTCTGTCTGTATGTCTGTATGTCTGTCTGCATGTCTGTCTGTCTGTGTGTCTGTCTGTGTGTGTGTCTGTCTGTCTGTCTGTCTGTCCGTTCGTCTGTCTACGCACCTGTCTGTCTGTCTTTCTTTCCACTTGTTTAGTGGCGGATCCAGGGGGAGGGTCCGGGGGTCCGGACCCCCCCCATCAGACCTGACGCTTACAAATTTGAGACTGAAATTATTACATGGACAGGATCGTATATCACTTCTTAACTGGCTGATTTTTTTAATGAATCCAAGTAAACGGTAAGCGGCCAAGGAATATAACGTGCAACTGCGACTGGTGGGAGGGGGTGTGGGGGAGAAGTAATTTGCCTCGGTCCAGCAGTCCTTCCTGAACCAAAGTTTGGACCCCCCCAATCAAAAATTCCTGGATCCGCCCCTGCTGTTTGTCTGTCTTTCTGACCAGCTGGTCTGTCCCTTCATTCCAGCATACAGCTGCCTATTCGTCTGTCAGATCTGTGTGTGTATTTGTCTTATGTGTATCTGTCTTATGTTCAAGTCCCTCTGAACGCGGCTCTGTCTTTATATTACGTTACGTTTATCTGTTTTCTTTGTTGATCTTTCTCTATCTGTCTGTGTATGTTTGTTTATCGATCCTTCTCAGTCTATATTAAACTTCTGCAGGTGGATCTGAATAACGAAAATAAAAGTAACGTAGTCTTATTCTAAGAGCAAATTAACGTGGTTAATTATAATAATTAACCTGTACTCGACGGTTTTATTTCTGTTCAGATGATAGTTGTAGTTCACAAGCAGCTCTGGAAGAAGCGTCGCGAATCTGCAGTCAAGAATTCGACATACAGCACAGTACAATACAAGTAGAGACATCTAGTGAGAAAACTGCCGAATGTATTCAATGCGACGAACCTAAGTAAGGGATTATAAGAAATATAGCCGCTGGACGGCGGAAGACGTGAACGTGGACCCATAGGAAGAAGTCACATGATCAAGCTTGTTCCAGCTTATGTATTGAGAAGATTCAGCAAATATAGTTCAAGTTGTTGCCGGGTCATTTGAAATACGTTTCAATCTTCTTCGTTCTTCCACATCCTTGCAAAATTTTACTTGGTATTACATCCAACCCCCTTCTGTTTGAATTACGCTCACATTTCGTAGGTTCCTTCAGTTTGACTACAGATCTCCACGGTACAAAAATCGAGGCGAAATGTCGACATTATAAAAAAACAAAACAAAACAAGCTTTTGACCGGTCGTGTATACGCGTACAAACAAGAATTAACTTGCAAGCGAAGTTCTGGTTTTAATTATTTTATTGACGTTATTGACGAAGAAGAGGGAAAGACGATACTACCAGATTGTTTAAAATCGGACACTAGACACCGACTTGAGACTCCAGTGTCCGATTAAAGACGCTAGTGTTCGATTTTGAACACTAGTGTCCAAAAAAGAGACACCAGTGACCGAAATCGGACACTCATGTCTAAAATTGGACACTAGTGGCTGAGATCGGTCACTAGTGTCTAAAATCGGGCACAAGTGTGTAAAATCGGAAACTAGTGTCTTAAATCAGACAATAAAGCCTAAAATCGGGCGCTAGTGTCTGAAATCGGACACTAGTGTCCAACATCGGATACTATTGCCCAAAATCGGACACAAGTGTGTAAAACCGGAAAGTAGCATCCTAAATCGGACAATAGTGTCTTAAATCAGACACTAAATGAGTGTCTAAAATCGGACAGTCATGTCTGAAATCGGATACTAATGTCCAAAATTTGTCAGCTTGCGAAATATTGAAAGTACTGATATTTAACTGAGTGTATACATTGAGCTAGGTAATACTTGAATGCGTGCATTAACATGGCATAAAGAGTGACGCAGTGCATATTTGTCCAGCCCAAATCGGTTTGTTTCCAAGCAAAAATGGGTCTGATCCGACAAATTGACTGGCGCCAACTGGGAAATTACTTCGAGTCTTGTCCTCTTGTACCAAGATTTTGGAAAAAGAGATGTCGAAGTGGCCCATCCAACCAAAAAAATATCCCTTGCATGCGTAGCTAGCCAATTTTATTTAAATAGTCACAAATACGTCCTCATTTGTTAATCTCAAAAAGGGTTCATTTGTTCATTATTATCTCCTCGACCTCTTGGTATCTGAGTCTCTTTCGTCGTAGTACCGCACCCGTTTATTCCCTGCGCTGTGTTGACTTCTGTCTCGTTCCATTCGTCGAGTCTCTTCATCGTCTCTAGTCTCGCGTCTCGTACCATCTTTGAGGTCGGCTTTATTTTCCCGCCCCTCTTTAGATACGTCTCCTTCATCAGAATTATTACCAGAGATGCCGTGTTCCTCTTTGTACTGCATTTCTAAGACGTGCATTTGTGTCTCGATAAGGTCACGCATTACCTGATGACAGGACGTAAGATTAAGGATTACTTACAAAATGACGGCATGGGGTATCCCGTAATACCTTGACTCAGACACTTTCTCATAAAGAAGGCACAAGGTCACGCTCTATCTATGAACTGACAGCTTGAGGTGTCACGCCTCACCTTAGCTTACACCTTAGCTTGAAACAGATGATATAAGATAACGCATTATCTATCAAAGGATAGGTCGAGCAGTCACGCATTACCGGAGAACATACACTATATTAGCACCAACATAGAGTGCATTTAACATTACGTCACCCATCACTAAGACAGATTTTGACAGATTTAAGATACAAATCTCTGAGGGCCAACCTGACAAAATTAAACCATAAATCACTGATCTAAAGGCTCCAAAACAAGTTATTAGAAATTTGCCACAAGAGACAGCTTAGCTTTGACAACGTTTTGATAATTAGGTGTGTGACGAGGCAGAGGCAGTTTAGCCGCAGTATGCGTCTGTCTGCCGGTTTTTTTGTCTGTCTGTCCCTCTGTATGTGTGTTCGTGTGTCCGTCTGTCTGTCAGTACGTGAGTACGTGCATCCATCCGTCCGTCCGTCCGTCTGTCTGTCTGTCTGTCTGTCTGTCTGTCAGAATGTAATTTCAAGCTTCAAGCTTGCAAAGAAATTAGAATGCAGATGCTCTAAACGTTTGGGCGGTGGCTTAGGTCAGATTTGTGGGTGGCCCGAGACTTGACAGCGCGAGTAATACCTCAACAGCACTCCTTTTGGTAATGTGTACATTCTTTGCTCGGTAGCTCTGTCGTCGACGTTTGTAGTCACGCTGTTCAGCCAACACTTCAAAACGAGTTTTCGGTTGATCACCTTCTGTTCCTACATAAAAAGAGCGTGACATAAATTAATGCGTGACATAAACTCGAGCGTGACACATTCGAAAACAAGCGAGATTCATTATTACTTATCAAATGCATTTTGCTAGAAGTTTACCATTTTCCGTTAAGCATACCATTTTTCTTACCTTTAGATTCATTCGAGTCAGAAACTTCTTCTAAATCCATCTCTTTTTTGTCTGTTTCTCGTTTTGCTTTTGCAGCCTGTTAGGGAAAAAAAAAAGAACAGAAGTCAAGTCCTAGGAGCCTGGTAACCAATTGTGACTACCGAATATTGATGCATATACCGATATTTGTGGTATGAAGCGTAATCTTTCAAGTTAAGTTCCCCGAACAGTATTCTGGGTGTAGAGAGGCGTTATGGGAGGAAAGTAACTTGGCCAAGAAGATAACAACAACATCGCAAGCTACTGACTATGAGTTCTTTATTTCTCGGTAACAAACCTGTATCACGTGCTCATAGACGGTGAGTCGTTGTTGGGGAGAGAGGTCAAATATTACCCGCTCCATCGGGAGAGAGATCTCTTTCGCGGAACTTCCAACAGGTTCTGGGTGGCCAGGAACATCTGTCTTTGTTTTAAAGCTATTGGCTATGAGGGGAAAAAAATACACTCAGTTAACGATTAATAACCGAAAGGAGTACGTTTCTGACGATAAATCAAGAACTGAAAAATCCACCATAATTATGAAAGAGGAATAACGCATGCGCACAAATGCTGCAGGTGCTTGTGACAAGTAATTAACACATTAAATGAAGGAACGGTAAAGTGGCATACCTGACGAATATTGCGTCTTGTTTTCCATGTGATACTAACAGGAAATTAAAGAGAAAAAAGGAGGTAAGTTTCTGATAAGAGGATATTCTACCGAGTAGGTAAGACACGAGATTCTTCCTCAATAAACAACAAAATATCTGAAATTAGAGTAATGTATTGACATAACTGAAAACTCACGTGGATGGCAGAGTTTTTCTCCTCGGTGACTGAAACAGCGAGAAACTTCCACAAGTTCAAAACAAAACCCTTTGTCTCTAAAATGAGCACCAAGCGAGATAAGAAGAAAGCAATAGTTACATACAAGTACAATGATAAGTTTGACAAACAACCGCAGACCTAACAACAGAGCCTTACCATCTCCCAGAAAATCTTTCAGCATGTCTTCCATTCCACTGGGATGAGCAACTTTCTTCTCTTGAAGGCACGACAAAACAAAATCCACCAAGCGGTCACTGGCACCTTCAACAGAACTGTTTCAAACAAAAAATAATTTAATTACAATGTACATTGCAACATGCACAACATATGAGAACCTGGCAAATGGTGTTACTCGCCAACTGAGCGTATTCATACCCTTTTATGAAGCAGGTTTCATTTGATAACGGTCCATAATTTTCCCTGATCTTCAACATTTTTTTTGTGTTTTCTATAGGCCGTCATTGAGACTTTGGGTCTCAAAATATTGGTCAAATGATCATTAATTCATAGTATTCTTCACTTTGTTGTTTGATGAAAAAATCCTTGCTTAGGGATCAGTATTATTCAATAACTCTTTATGACTTGTACATAGACTTCAAAAGTTTTCTAGTCTAAAAAATTGGTTTTGTTCAATTCCAAGACTTTCCAGTATTTCCATAAGACGGACCCCCAGTGATAACATTTTGTCTAGCTTGGAGCATGCCCACATTAGCTTTGCAGTGAGAGGGAAAAACCATGAGGTTCAAGCGGGCAAGCAAAGCCAGTCTTAATCTATGACGAAAGCCTGGCAGACCTCCCCCATGCTTGCTTTCCTTGCTGACTGGAACCACGCTTGCTCCACCACTCATGCAACAGCTAATTTGAGCCTTATACTCATTGGCTAAACTGTACATTTTCTGTAAGCTTACCTCAAGTACTGGACTTGTGGCAAATTCCCAATGATCCAAGTCTTCATTTTCTCTTGTGTGAGAAGATGAAGTTCTAGTTGCATGTGAGAGGATGGAATCACTTGCCATGCCATTATTGACCTTCAGCACAGCATTCAATAATACATGTTAGAAAAAAAAAAAACAGAAGTATGGATCATGAGCTAAAAGGCCCATCCTACCAATTATCCTGGGCCAGTTTCCATAACATGTGAAGTGACCAGGCCCTTGTTGTTCAAAGGTTGAATAACGCTACCCACTCGATAAATTGCTATCAAGTGGATAACATTTGTCAGAGCTCAACACTAATGGTAAGCCAACTAGCTATGGACTAGTAGAAGTTCAGTTTTGGCTAGTGGTTTTTGATTTCCACTAACCGCCTCCCGGTTAGCTCAATGGATAGAGCGCTGGACTGTTGTGCGGGAGGTCGAGGGTTCGAGCCCCGGCCGGACCAACACTCAAGGTCTTAAAATAATTGAGAAGAATTTGCTACCTTTCTATAACATCAAGAAATGGTTAGATATTCTAGTCTTCTCGGATAGGGACGAATAAATGGAGGTCCCGTCTCCTGCAGGGTTGGGGTAGGAGACGTTAATTTCCCACACACGAGATTACTGTGTGATGGATGTCCTCCCCTGGGGTGGGATGGGTGGGATATAGGGCGCACTTAATTTGGAGCCTCGCTCTGTTGTGCGACCCTCACCACACTCTGGTGAAAGTGATTAAATAAATAAATAAATAAATAAATAAATTCCAATTATTGGACGTTTGTTGGCCAAAATGCCACGCGGCTAGAGCTATGTCGAATTTTCGTAAATTCGAGCTTCCCCAGCTTATACGAAAAGGGAAATCGGCTGAAAATGACGGGATTCCCCGATTCGAATTTAACAAATACGAAAAATGAGATGGGGTCTCAGTTTTCGTAATGAGGTTTCGTAATTACGAATACTAAGACCCACCGGAGAAGTCATGAATCATTGAAAAGACGGGGTGTTAATTGCTTTCTATTATTCGCTTCAACATATTCTATTTAATAAAAAAAAAGAGAAATTGATAAACAAGAAAAATAATATTGCGTCTTAGTTTTCGTGATGACCTTTCGTAATTACGAAAACTAAGAACCATCGGAAAAGTGAAAATCAATGAAAAGACGAGGGGTCTTAGTTTTCGGGGTCTTAGTTTTCGGGGTGTTAGGTCTTAGGTCTTAGGTCTTAGGTCTTAGTTTTCAGCTAA